CAGACGTTCGGCAACTATGCCCGGTCGTCGCAACCCGGCAACCAACCCTTCGACCAATACGGGCCGGTCTCGTCACCTCGCTATGCCCCTACTGACCACCTTGACTTCCAGCCGCAGCGCGCACCGTCTCCTCGTCGGCGATCGCCCTCCCCCATGCGTCGCCGGCATAGACCTTCTGACCAGGAAAACTAAGCACCGCAGTTCAAGAGGCAATAACTGCGCCATTTTCGAACTGTCTAAGCCCTCACCCCTCTCCTGCTAACGTGGTCGCAGTAACTGTTGAAGGCTATTCTACTTTCGCCCTTGCAGACACCGGCGCCACTGTTTCCGTTATTGCTGCTAATGTCTGCCGTGTATTACGTAAAGTCACGACGCCGCTTTCGGGACAGTCACTCCACACCGCAAGTGCACAGCAAGTAACGCCTCTCACAGCCTGCACTGCAAGAGTGTCCATCAAAGGCATTGTTTACATTGTGGAGTTTGTTGTCCTCGCTGTCTGTTCGCATAGTGTCATCCTCGGATGGGACTTCCTATCCCGCCATAATGCCGTCATCGACTGCGCACGCGCTGAAGTTGAGTTTTCACCGTTTTGTGATGTCCCATTACTTGACGCTCTTCATCAGCCGCCGAAGTTGTTCGTGCATGAAGATACCGATATTCCACCTGAAAATTTCGCACTTGTTCCAGTTTCATGCAAGGCCTACACTGACGCTACAGTCTTTTTTATGCCTTCCAATATCTTCACGAGTCGTCGAGCTCTGCCGCTGCCTTTCGCAACGATTGACCTTGCCGCCGGAAGAAGCAATATGTTCATACTCAATCCACTTTCCACACCTGTTACTTTGCTTGCGGGGGAATGTCTCGGCCGCGTGCAGGATCTCGACCCTTCGTCTTTGGTTGATGTCCCGTATGACTACTGCGACCACCCAAAATCACTGTCGGCCCTCGAGGAGTCGTCGAAGAATACGTTTTCCAGCGCCATCGCTGACACCCTAACTCCCACCGAACATGCCGACCTGCTTGATCTTCTGCATGAGTTCCGGAATTCTTTCGATGTGTCCCAACCTCAACTAGGCCGCACGTCGCCAGTCAAGCATCATGTTGACAACGGCCTACACCAGCCACTGCGTCAAAGACCATACCGTGTCTCCACTGAAGAGCGCCGCGTCATCAACGATCAAGTCAAAGATATGCTTCGTAGAGACGTCATTCGACCGTCTCACAGTTTCTGGACGTCTCCTGTCGTCCTGGTGCGTAAGAAAGACGGATCTATCCGATTTTGCGAGGACTATCGTCGTTTGAATAAGATAACCCGCAAGGTTATCTTGCGGGTTATCTTATTCGCAAGGATGGTTATCGCAAACGCAAGGACGTATATCCTTTGCCGCGCATTGATGACGCCATTGACACCCTTCATGGAGTGGAATTCTTCTCGTCGCTAGATTTGCGGTCTGGCTACTGGCAAGTTCCAATGGCTGAAGCCGATCGCCAAAAAACTGCATTTATTACACCTGATGGACTATACGAGTTTAACGTCACGCCCTTTGGGCTTTGTAACGCGCCTGCTACGTTTGAACGTCTTATGGATAATACGCTACGTCACCTCAAGTGGAATATGTGCCTCTGTTACCTCGACGATGTCGTGGTTTTCTCCCATGATTTTCCTACGCACCTCTTTCACCTCAGGCACGTTTCGACTTGCTTGACCAACGCTGGCTTGCAGCTTAACCTGAAAAAATTGCGGCTTCGCTGCACGCGAGCTCGTCATACTAGGCCACATCCTGTCCAAACACGGCGTATTACCTAACCCGGCAAAACTTCGAGCAGTCGCAGAATTTCCCAAGCCGACGACCATGAAAGAACTTCGCAGTTTTGTAGGACTATGCTCGTATTTCCGGCGCTTTGTTCGCAATTTTGCATCTATCATGTCACCATTAACCCAGCTTCCTCGCGGTGACGTTAACCTCTCCTCCTGGTCTCCTGCATGTGACGTTGCCTTCACTACTCTACGCCGTCTGCTCACCTCCCTACCTATTCTTCGCCACTTCAACCCGACGGCTCCTACCGAAGAACACACCGACGCCAGCGGCGTCGGGCTAGGCGCTGTCCTCGCTCAACGAAAGCCCGGCTATTCAGAAAACGTTGTTGCCTACGCTAGCCGCACTCTGACGAAAGCCGAAACTAATTACAGCGTGACAGAAAAAGAGTGTTTCGCTCTGGTGTGGCCGCTTGGAAAATTCCAGCCATACTTATATGGCCGCCCGTTCGATGTAGTAACTGATCACCACGCGCTTTGCTGGCTGTCCACTTTGAAAGACCCTTCTGGCCGCCTTGCGCGATGGGCACTTCGCATCCAGGAGTACGACATTTGCGTCGTATACCGCTGCGGACGCAAACACTCTGACGCTGATGCCCTGTCCCGCTCACCTTTATCGCCAGATCCGACGTGCGGAAACACTCGCCTCGAGACCTTGTCATCGCTAAATCTCGACTAGATTGCCACCGAACAACATCGTGACCCGTGGATCGCATCTCTTATCGAATATCTATCTTGCACGCCCAACCTTCCAGTATCTTGATCCCTCCGACGTCAAGCTTTCCATTTCACCATCCGCGATCAACTACTCCATCAATGCATTTACGCTCCCGATGGCCGCCGGTGGCTACTGGTCATTCCACGCACTTTACGATCACAAGTATGTGCATATCATCATGAAGATCTGCAATGTGGCCACGCCGGGTTGTTCAAAACATATGAACGCCTTCGCCATCGCTATTACTGGCGCGACATGTACAGTTTTGTACGCAAATTTGTGCAGTGCTGTCCTGACTGCCAGCGACGCAAATCAAGAGCGCCACGAGCGACTGGCGCATTGCAGCCACTTCCATGCCCTGCCAAGCCATTTCATCGCGTCAGTGTTGACCTCTACGGCCCCCTTCCATTGACATCAAATGGTAATCGGTGGATTATAGTGGCAGTAGACCATCTGACACGCTACGCCGAAACAGCCGCTTTGCCGAGCGCTATAGCTGAGGGTGTCGCCTCTTTCAATTTACGTCGCTTTATCCTTCGACATGGTCCACCTCGAGAGCTCCTTAGTGACAGAGGCCGCGCTTTCCTCTCCGAGGTCGTTCGAAACTCTGCTTTCGGAATGCCACGTCATTCATCGGAAAATGACAGCATACTACCCGCAGACTGACGGGCTAACGGAACGGTTCAACCGCACGCTGGGTGATATGCTCTCAATATACGTGGCATCTGATCATAACAACTGGGACCGTGTTCTCCCATACGTCACATTCGCATATAACACCGCAGTTCAAACCACCACGGGATTCTCACCTTTCTTTCTTCTTTATGGACGCGAGCCTTCCCATACAATCGACACCTTACTACCCTACCGTCCTGATGATTCCAAGTGCCCACCTTTCTCCGATGCTTCTCGACAAGCTGAAGAGTGCCGCCAGCTCGCCCGTGCGTTCACCTCAAAAGAGCAGCAACGCCAGAAAGAACACCGTAGCACCACCCTTTCAGATCCCAGCTATGCCCCAGTGTCTCTTGTGTGGCTCACCATTCACACCAAACACCGGGACTCTCCTCGAAACTTGTCCCCCGGTACGAGGGGCCCTACACCGTTTTGGAGAAAACCTCTCCGGTTAATTTCCTAATTGAGCCAGTTTCCAGATCAGACGACATGCACCGGCGTGCACGTGACATCGTCCATGTTTCCCGACTGAAACCATACCATGAGCCTCTGCCTGAAACTTCCTATGTCGCCAAGATGGCTCCTTTTTCAGCGGGGGCGATTGTGAAGAAGATGTGCCTGCGGCGAGCAACATCGCCAACTCCCGGCTCTCTCGGCTCGTGCTTCGGCTCGCTGCTGTGCTGATCTCTGCTGGACGGTTTTTCACGCTGTTTTGCCGTTGTCGTTATCGACTAATAAACCGCGTCACAATTCCAATTTTGCGAGAAGTGTAAGCGTGTATTCGTTTTGATATCCTTGTTGCGATCATTCTGATGGCACCTGCACCATCCGAGTGAAGTGAATTGCGCACTGTTAGAGCCTGAACATGACTTTGACACAAGCGCTACCTAATTGGAAGTTAAATGCTTCTGTTCTGTTGAAGAAGCAGCTGCATGATGCTTAAAGCGCAAGTAATTACGACTAAGTAATTAAGTTTGCAAACATTCGCTCCCGTGCAGCCGCGATGGCAAGCTACTCGTTAATGACACAGCACTTCTGCGGCAAATCTCTGAGGCAGACTCGGGACAAAATATCTCGGAGTGCTGTTCAGTTCCTAAATCAATTCGAACTTTTCTGTTACGCGCGCAGGATTACGCAAAGCGTCATCGATCAGCTGCCACTACTGCCCTTCACACTACGGCAAGAAATGAAGTAGAGAGTATATAGGAGTTACTAACATTCGAGAAAGTACTTTGGTCCAATATACACTCATGCAACGATCAAACATCCGCTAAAAGTGGCATTGGGCGCACGTCTTTGCATGTTATCTTTACCTATGCGAGTTCACGGGTTGATAATCCTCCCGCAGCCATCTCAGATTGCACGCCGCGGCACCTATCCATGGGCATTGCGGATAACACTCATTCCAGAGATACGCAGGTTTGTTCGTTTAGTTGATTCACTACCCTCACACACTGTCCCGCCCATGGTCAGTTTGTGGGACGAAGACGGTCAGCACATTTTTCCTCCTATATAGTTCGGATGGTGTCAATAGATGATGTTTCAGGCGATCTTAAGACTACATCAAAATTATGCAGAGCTTTAGAGAGACTTTGGCATTCAGGGTAAAATTGGCTGGAGTGTTTACCTACTTACCCTCGCAATAAGATATCATTGTTTCAGCACAAGTATGAAGTGTTGAGTCCGAAGTTTTCATCTCACAGATGGGTAGTTAGTTCACTACGAAGTTGGTCACCTCAATGCGAAGAAGATTTAAAAGACTGCAATTAAGCACATAAAATTTTTAGAGCTCACCAAGTGATGTTTCCTGCAATCACCACCTTGATAAAGATATCTTGTGACAGAGTTTGAGCAGTCTTGTTCTCCAACGTGGGTTTCGCTCGGATGCACTTGATATGTGGCCATTTGAGTGTCGTTAAGTTCAAGTATATGTCTTTTGATCTCATAAACTGAATAAGTAGGAATGTGTAAACGTGCGTTAGATGTGTTCATCTAAAAACAATTAGGCTTCTCTTTCGTACGATTGCTACGCAAATGGCTTTTAGTTATGAAACTATAGGCGTGTTCTATAAATTCGACAACTGTATAAAAATCAAGAGAAATAAGTGAGTAAATGTGAATTAAAAGTAAGTACGACATATCTTAAAACTAAAAAAAAACTTGGGTACTACAAAAGGGAAAACTACAATAATTTTTCAATCCTTAACGTTACCATCCCTAGTTGATTTTTGTTACGCCGCATGCAAATGACATTCTGAAGAAGTCAGGGTGGCAATATTTGTGCATTAGGCGAAGTACCCAATAGTGTAATTGGTCTCGCTGTACAGTTTCATTATAATCGGTCACTTACTAAGGTGGTCTCGTGTCCATGGTGATCGACTGCTCACGTGAAGGTAGCGGCATGGCATGCCGGCCGTGGCAGTCACTCTGCCGGTGAATGCGCGAAATACTAAGACCAGTGTACTTATATTTAGGTGCACGTTGAACCATTATAGCTGGTTAAAACTTCAATGCACTGCACCTCATAATAATAATAATAATAATAATAATAATAATAATAATAATAATAATAATAATAATAATAATAATAATAATAATAATAATAATAATATAATAATAATAATAATAATAATAATATTAACGATATTATTATAATAATAACGATAACACTAATAATAGTTATAATAATAATAATAATAATAATAATAATATTAACTTATTTCTTTTCATCAACGATGGGGAGACTGCGGGTAAACGTTGCTTCACATTAGCCCGCGCGCTTCTTGCTTTGCAAGATATATATATATATATATATATATATAGTGCTTCGACCCACAGAAACTCAGCAACGCGCTGTGCGGGCAATGTCAAATGTTTGCGAAAGCTACGTGGTCAGATTACACGCAGAGCGCGAAACGTCAAGTTTTTTCCCAGAGCGATCACGAGCACCTGAAAGAACAAATAACGTTAGGAAATTCGATTTGCAGTGTATGAAGAACGGCAGGCTATAGCAATGATCACTTTATCAACGGCGAACACTGTGTTCACCGCTGTCATTGTACATATATATATATATATATATATATATATATATATATATATATATATATAGATATATATATTGTGCTTCGCCCCACAGAAAGTCAGCAACACGCTGTGCGGGCTAGGTGAAATGTTTGCGAAAGCTACGTGTTTTTTTTAGCTTATTTTGGTCAGATTACACGCAGAGCGCGAAACGTCAAGTTTTTTCCCAGAGCGATCACGAGCACCTGAAAGAACAAATAACGTTAGGAAATTCGATTTGCAGTGTATGAAGAACGGCAGGCTATAGCAATGATCACTTTATCAACGGCGAACACTGTGTTCACCGCTGCCATTGTACATATATATATATATATATATATATATATATATATATATATATATATATATATATATATATATATATATATATATAGATATATATATTGTGCTTCGCCCCACAGAAAGTCAGCAACACGCTGTGCGGGCTAGGTGAAATGTTTGCGAAAGCTACGTGTTTTTTTTTAGCTTATTTTGGTCAGATTACACGCAGAGCGCGAAACGTCAAGTTTTTTCCCAGAGCGATCACGAGCACCTGAAAGAACAAATAACGTTAGGAAATTCGATTTGCAGTGTATGAAGAACGGCAGGCTATAGCAATGATCACTTTATCAAAGGCGAACACTGTGTTCACCGCTGTCATTGTATATATATATATATATATATATATATATATATATATATATATATATATGTGACGTATGAAGTGATGGTAGATAGAAGCCGAGAAGGAAGAAGTGAGAATGGAATAAACATGGGCTATGAGCCAGGCCACGTCTCCCACACGTAGCGTCACACAAGTAGACAGGATGAAGACCTCCCAGCCACTTCATCAGTGTCTCATCATCGACGCAGTCCTACACAAGACGCCCTGACCATACATCGACTACGGAATCATCTCCTAGCTGCACACAGCGACCAGCACCATGACAGAATCATCGACCGACCTTCCCATCCCCAAGTACACCGGAGCAGCGGACGATGGACCTGTACAGCACTGGTTCGACCTGTTCGAGTTCCACGCTACCGCTGCATCTTGGTCGGAACGGGAGATGGTTACGAACTTCAGCGACTACGTCTCCGGTGAGGCATTCAAATTTTACTTGACACACATATTCGAAAACGACGAATCATGGCAAAAGATCAGGGAAGAGATGATTACCCGTTTCAAAGAATACGATGAAGACATGTTCATACCTCATCAGCGGAAGGATTTTCAACTGACCCATCACAGTTACGCGAAGTCTTCCCGCAGTAAGTCTACTTTCCAAACGAGATCTCAGAGAAATTATACCACCATTGTACCATCATACGACTCTTCCGAAAAAACGTCACGCATTCGAACGCTGACTGGTAACGTGCACGTCGCAACAGACAAGGTAAAGCGTCCGTATACTGAAAGGAATCTAGAAAATTTCGCCAAAAAACTGAACCTAAACCCGCCTTTCCCAAGTGCAATGAAATCGGCATTTTTAACGTGTTCACTGCACAACAACACTTCAGATTTTACAGAATCACCCAAATGCCTTGATGCATCGTGTCACACACAAGGCCCAAATGGTTTCGAGCGTGTGATGGAATTTACGTGTGACGAGCTGGTGAATCCTCGCAATACCAGCCCCCACCCTGACGTTCGCGACCAGGGTCGTTCGACAGACACTGTCAGCCTAACTACGCTGCACAAAGAAAAACATACGCCATCAGAACCATCTGAAGCCATGCCTGTTGTGCTCTCATCGTCAAGTGACAACACACATGTGAGTCAAAGCACTGTAGGAATTTCGAATCCACCAACGCCGGCGCATTGTCAAATGACAGAAGCATTTACAATCAAGGATGATTCACAACCATCTTGGGAGCGTTCTCATCAGCCTGTCACGCTGCTTTCATCGCAGGACAAGCCTAGCAGTACAGTGTCGACTACCGACAATCGACTGATTACATCACCATCTAATGAAAAGCAGACTCATGTTCCTGAAAGAGGCCCATCTGACGAACTTTCACAAGAAGACGAGCGATTTCAACAAAGGCAACTCCACGAACTCCAAGAACTGCAACAGCTACTCGAACAAGAACAACGATCAAGTGAAACCTCCTCACGAGTACACTTCTGGCTGAAAGATTATCAGAGACAACATCAATTAAAGAAGCACAGACGAAGTCGATGCCTAAGCCATCTTCGCAGAAAGCAACGTCGACAAAGTTTCCTGCACCAGTTCTCAACGCCATGTTTACGATTCAACACCTCACGAGTACACTTCTGGCTGAAATATTATCAGAGACAACATCAATTAAAGAAGCACAGACGAAGTCGATGCCTAAGCCATCTTAGCAGAAAGCAACGTCGACAAAGTTTCCTGCACCAGTTCTCAACGCCGTGTTTACGATTCAACAAACTGAGAGAAGACTACATAAAGCTACGAAAGAGACGTACAGCTACCACGTGTACAATGAAGGAACAAAGGCATCATACCATCTGCTTCGGTTCTCGCACATGCAGGCTGCAAGCACTCGTTATGTCTCAGCCACGACACAGAAAGCAGCGTCTACGACGGAGAACTTCGTGCCTACAACATCCGACTCTCAAATGCTACAAGTACTTCGACCCTTGTTCATTCATGACAGGAATCGCTGTATCATCAGTAATTTCTACGTTCAAGGCGTACTTCTGTTGGCCAGAACGCAATAGTCAACCTCGCCCACCAGAGTTGTCATAAAATTCATCGGACTGCTCAATCGGCCTTGAAGATTTAGTGAGATTGTGGAACTCCGTCTGGACGTGAAGCTGTGAATTTGGGCATTGTTTTGTTCATTAACTTCTTTAATTTCTTATAGTTTGTAAGCAGTGCCCTCTTTCGGGGGGAGGGGGAATCGTGTGACGTATGAAGTGATGGTAGATAGAAGCCGAGAAGGAAGAAGTGAGAATGGAATAAACATGGGGTATGAGCCAGGCCACGTCGCCCATTCATCGTAGCGTCACATATATATATATATATACACATATATAGTGTTTCGACCCACAGAAACTCAGCAACGCGCTGTGCGAGCGAGGTCAACTGTTTGCGAAAGCTACGTCTTTTTTTAGCTTATTTTGGTCAGATTACACGCAGAGCGCGAAACGTCAAGTTTTTTCCCAGAGCGATCACGAGCACCTGAAAGAACAAATAACGTTAGGAAATGCGATTTGCAGTGTATGAAGTACGGCAGGCTATAGCAATGATCACTTTATCAACGGCGAACACTGTGTTCACCGCTGGCATTGTACGACGTATGTTACTGTCGTCTGACTTTTCTTTTGCCGGCCAAAAGCTCGGTCAAATAAACAGTTTCATCTTGGACGCTCCGAGTGCGGCTTCCGCCAACTTCACGACACCATCATATGTGGTGAAGGGCCGGGACCGTTTCTATTAAAGATGCAAGAAAAAAGTCGGCAGCCAAGCCAACCACACTAAAAGACTGAAGTCCTAAAGCAGAAATAGGCTGGTGACAGGCTGCAAGGTTCCCAACCATAAGTCAGACATCTTACTTACTACACAAGCACCACGGTGACGCAGGCAATTGTCACGATGACGGCTGCAGTGTACACCACCCTGATCATGATGCAGTCACTCTGAGAGCCACAGGCATTTCTTGGATCGCCAAGCAAAGACCCTGAAACCTAGCTTAAGAAGTATCAAAGCGTCTCAATATACAACATTTGGGACACCTACAAGCTGCACCTTGTGTAGATTATCCCCGATAGATGCAGCAAGGGCCTGGTTAGAGCATCTGGAGTCCGCTATTCAAACTTTTCAATAAACCCTCTTGAAAATATCCACAAGAGTCATCCGAGCAAAGACTACAACCTTCGTGACGTCTTAGACCTAACTAGCGAATAAAAGAGCTACCATTTCGGCGGAGGACATGGCCCTACCCTTTTGCCTGTCTGACACTGCCAAGCCGGAGGAAAAAGAGGTACTATTTTTTGTGTGGGTGATTCAGCAATACCTCTTTGCAAGCGTTGAACGCAACCCACCGAAGACGGTCATGAAAAATGTCTCACAGCCCACAATGTTCCAAAAACTTCCTGGAATTACCCCGCCGTGGTGGTGTAGTGGCTAAGGTACTCGGCTGCTAACCCACAGGTTGTGGGATTGAATCCCGGCTGCAGTGGCTGCATTTCCGATGGAGGCGGAAATGTTGTAGGCTCATAAGCCCATATTTAGGTGCGCGTTAAAGAACCCCAGGTGGTCAAAATTTCCGGAGCCCTCCCCTACGGCGTCTCTCATAATCATGTCCTGGTTTTTGCGATGTTAAACCCCACAAGTCAATCATCAATCATTATTCGACCTTCTTCCAGCATAAGGTCTTGTGCGCTGCGGATGGTGCCAAAATAAGAGCGTCGTGACTGGGGGCCTAGAAATGGTTATCGGGCACTCAATGCTGTAACAACGGCAGACTTTTTCCCTCAAGTCCATCATTCCCGCGCTTGCCTCACATAAACGGCCATGTTAACTAAGCTGGATGCGATAGCTACTTATCGCGAGATTCCAGTAGAACGACGCTACATCCAGAAGACGCCCATGGCAACACCTTTCGGCTCGTTTGAATTTGTTCGTATGCCGTACGCACTGAAGAATGCAGCACATACGTTCCAGCATTTTATGAATCAGGTCGCTCGCGGACTGCCCTTTGCCTCCGTCTACTTAGGCGATATTTTGGTCACGAGCCAAACGACGGAAGAGCATTAAAAATAGTGGCATATCCAGGGAGTGAATGATGGAGAGTGGGCGAAGCATTCGTCCGTCCAATCGTTTTTGCTTGCGATCATCCATGCGTCCGTCTGTGTGACCATTCATGCGTCCATCCGCCCATCCGTGTGTGCGTCTGTTCGTGCATCCGTCCCTGCGTTCGTCCATGCATCCGCCCCTGCGTCCGTTCATGCGTCCATCCAAGCATCTGTCTGTGTGTCCGTTCGTCCATCTATTAAACACTCCAAGTACCACCATCTTGCATCTTTTCATCATTTATTCTCCATATAGAAGCACCGCCATCCAGCAGACATTCCAAAGACTAAACAAGAGGTGGAACACGCACACTTTCTTACGGCTTGCGCTTCGGGTCTACTTCCCACCTTTAAACACCTCGTGTTCGTGGTATATACTAGTTCACTGTATTCATGTGGCACTGCGGCCCAACGCTCGCTAAACTTTCTGAAACCAAGGAGGTTACGCTCAGCGAGTATAACGGACGCAGGGGCGGATGCATGGACGAACGCTGGGATGGACGCATAGATGGACGTGCGGACGCACAAACAGACGCACGCACGGACGGTCACACAGACGCACGCATGGACGTTTGGAAGCAAGAACGAATGGACGGATGGATGCTTCGCCCCACTCTTCATCATTCACTCCGTGGATGTACTGCCATTTTTTTAGAACGCAATTGGAGTGTTTGGCACGCAGCTCATCACTTACGTTGGTCTTCCACTGCCGATGCTTGTGTGCGGCTTCCCTGGCTCGCGCCTCGTCATCCGCACGCGATGCTCGTCGGTGTTGCAGGCGCGACGTCATCATTCGCGAGCGCGATTGACTCTGCTAACCTTAGCGATGCTGGCAACGGCCGCGTTAGGCCGAATAACTTCGGCTTATGTTATAAAGGGCGAAGGAGCTTCACTTTCCGGTGCCCTCTCAATCGCAGGTAAACAAGCTGAAACAGTGTTAATTTGATGTGCGCCTGAACGTTGCGAATGGTGGAAAGGGCTAAGCGAGGTGACGTCACTGTGCACTGCAAGAGAGAGCGTGACCCACTTGGCATCACCCAGCAGCTGCGGAGACGGTTGGGTGGTGCTGCGCATCGACAGAGATACACAGACAAACTGCGTTACACGAGCTAGTCAAAAAGCTGCTTCGCGTCCACAACCACCAGACCTGCGCGGAACCCACAACAATATCAAAGCGAAAGCTAGAAAAGCGGCCTTTCGGCACCCTTTTCTAACGCTCGTTCTGTAGCTGGGGCAAGTACACTTGCAGGGTGCCCGCTACGCCATAAGTCATTGTGTAGTAGGCAGGCATTCACTAAGCGATCTTTCGTCACACGTCTGGAACCATTGTAACCACTGCACTTTTGCATAGAACGTTGTGCATTTTTTGTGTGCTGTGGCGGACGACGATGCAAAATTATGCCAGAAACTTTTGTAATCCTCACACTACCCCTCAGTGGCTTTGTGCCACAGGTAATAGGTGTAAAAGCTTGGAGCGTTAGACTAGGCACCCTGTGCGCAGTTCATATTGTGCGATACTGCTGTTCTAAAATGCTTTAGTACTCGTAAAAACGCGATTATTTTCCCGACATGAAGCCCGCCTAAGGCCACTTTGCAAAGGAGTCCCAGCTACAAGCGTGGCTGAGTGGTAGAACACTAGGCTAGCACGCAGAGGAGCCGAGTTTGAATCCCACCGTGTTCTTGGTATCTTTGTTTGCTAAATTTGTTTTTATTTGGTGCAATAGTGATTACTGACACTGGTGGCTGCGGCGGTAGCGGCGACGGACAACTACCGCGCCGCACGCGATGCATATTCAGATCTCATAACAGCTTACGCTGTAAAACTCATAACCCTCAATTCATTCTCGGTCTCAGGAGGCTATTGCACGGTGTGTATTCTGAGGCAAAAAACTTGTAATTTTGCAGACGAGTGAGTTTTTTTTATAACTGCGGACAAAGAAGTACACATTTTTGGAATATAATAGAAGAAAATGAAGCTATTCATATTGCTTGTACAGAGAATATAAATGCTGTTTGCGCTGTATGTAAAAAGACGAAAAATTGCTCACCGTCCAAGGGCTAGTCCTTCGCCATTCTCCTGGCGCGTTTGTCTGAAAAGTTACACAATAGTAAAGCTTGCTTTTAAAAATGCTATAACTTTGACGAAGGTGATGCACCTTACCCCAAGGCGGAACCCAATCGCCATCGTACGATGCTTTTACAGTTTCACCCCGCACACTGTATATAACACCATCGTAGACCAAAATATTCTGAACAAAATCTATGCAGATTTCACGCAATGTATAAATTGGCTCCAGGATAATCAGGCAGCAAGTAACTGTCCAGGCTTCAGTTTTCGGCTTTTAGCCTCATGTTAAGAGTTTCATGACATGACAAGAACTTCATTAGACCAGAACTTTATCGGACTACCGGGGCGTCTCGATGCAATAGTGGGCATCGATCATACAATCTACGCAGACGACATGACCGTGTGGACGATAGCAAATACGAGCATCATTGAAATGCAAGAGATATAATGCAAAGGGCCATCCGAGAGGTGCAGCGGCACCTCGAAGGCACGGCACTTGTCTGCTCTCCCAATAAATTTGAAATCCTCCTGCATAGCCCGTGCAAGAAAGAACCTCACCCGCATGCTCGTCGCTTGAGCATACACGTCACGACAAAGCAGGGGAACCAAATACCAAGGGTGTCAAAAATACGAGTGCTTGGCCTGTGGCTGGAAGAGAAAGGTTTCAACCACGAACTGGTTGCACAAATGCAGAAGGAACGGGCCACTGCAACGTACCTTGTGCGTGGAATACCGAAAAAAGAAAAGGGATGAATGAACACAACATGATGAAGTAAATACAAGCGTACGTGCTGAGCCCCATATCGTACGTCGCCACGTACGCCGACTGGAACAGAAGCAAAACAGAGAAACCTAATGCGGCGATTCGTCGGGCATTCAAGGTAGCCCTGGGTGTGGCCCAGTACACGGAAACCCGTAGGCTACTTGAGCTGGGCGTGCACAATACCCTCATGAGACAGCGGAAGCGCAGAGGATCATGCAGCTCAAGAGTTTGTCGGGCACTCGAATGGTCAGAAGCATTCTCGGCCTGCTCGCGATTCGATATCATGAGGTGCGGCGAGTGAAGTAAGCATTCCAACCAGAAGTCACGTACGCCATACTGACAGAATTCATCCCTGGGAACATGCACCCCGTTCACGACTTGCAACAATGCAAATTCAGAGCTGCAGCAAACCTGAAGCATACGGAAGTCAAAAGGGCGTCCTCTGTGTCGATGCGGCCAGGCATCCACTGTCAGCCGCGGCAGTGACGGGGGACGCTCAGAACCACCGTCGCTACCCGCGAACAAGCGAGGCGAAGTCAAGGCGCTAACGCCACCACTACTGCTACTTCTACGACAACAACGACAGCAGCGTCAGCGGCAACATCACCTGCAAGTCCGGGCAATGGCGGCAGCACCTGCTTTCTTTTTTGTGGGCCGAGATACTGCGGGAAAGCTTCCTATCCCGACACCACCGCGGCTGTCATCAGCCGAAGCTGCAAAAGAGATGAACATAGCTTTAACTGTAATTCACAGTGGTGCGGACGACACCCTGATGACTAGCGATACTAAATCAGTGATTAGAGCTATGTTAAACTGCGCGTATCTTAGGAGGTAACATGCGTGCTTAACGCCAGGGCTGTGGACTTCGTGTCAGCTAGATTACCGACAAGACACTCAAGTGGCTTCCCGCGCACAATGGGAGACATTGCATCTATAAACCCCAACAGCCGTAAACTAGCAGCCACAATACGAACAGCCAAAGACTTCCCGGCACTCCGCCTAACCATAACGAACGCACCCATCTCGTTGCGAAGCAACTTACCCAGCGAGCAGCCACCACCATGGTTGAGAGGTGCCTCGGCGGAGGCAAGGCGGTGGCCACAGGCACCGGTACCGCCAAAATGACTCCCTCCACCACCTCCGTTTATGTGGTAACTGAAGTTGAAGCAGAAGAAGCAAGGCAACAGATGTGCGTCGACTGCTATGCAGATGAATTTCGTGCCACGTACCACGACGGGCTTGGGCACTACAGAAAATACCGGAAAAAAATTTCCGCAACCTCACGTGCACCTTGACAGGTCGTAGGCGGTGGAAATAAGAAGGCTGCAGATGGGCATGTTCACCCACTTTCACCATATGCACCCCCTGTGGGCCACGCTGCACCCGTCACCTGGATGCCCACGGTGCGTGCACGAGTGGGCCCATATTGCACATATACTTTGGCAATGCGCAAGAAACGAAGGTGGACCTAGAGAACGGAGGACATCAACTGAGGATTCCTCCGAATTGGGGCGCCTTGCTGTGCGACGGCAAACCGCCCTTGAAGACCAGGTGTGGGCCATTCAGTGGTCCAGGGCCATCGCTGAGGATATAGAAAGATGTTCTTCGAACGATGTGTCCCCTGAAGCCTAGCCGCTGGCACAGCAACAACCGGTGGACAAGTAAAGTTCATTCAACTCTACTTCATTGCAGTTCTGAGGGAATGATATTTAATGGTGCCAGAGGCCTCTCTAAATCAAGTCGGTGGCTCCAGCCATAATGGTGCCAGAAGTCGAATATCCAACGCGATGTCATTGGCTCTCTGGGTGGCCTGCAGTTTAATTTGAAGGCTGCTGCTCTTCAAAAGTGCATCGCTGAAAGCCCTGGCAGGTATGCGCCACAAGCATTAGGCTAGCCTCACTAAGCCTTCTGTGACAAGATTGAGACATCGAAAACTGTGGAGGGAGAAAGCAGAGTGAAGGAGAGTGACGACGGTGATCAGTTGGAATGAAGACTGGAGCCCGGGCTGGGAGTGCTTTAAGACTAGTAAAAAGAGGAACGACAACGCAAGGAGGTGGCCATGAGGAGGGATCCGATCATTAGGCGTCGTTAAGCGTGCGATCGTAAAGCGTCAAGAACAGTTGACGACGAAGTGGAGGCAATAACGCAAACGAGTAGTGAAGCGGAGTTGACGTCGAACAAAAGGACTTCAATTACCGTAATGAAATATTTTGTTTAGGCATGGTTCAATCCTATGTGCTCACGGTTTTAAGAAATTATATGGTTACGTTGCTATGAGGCTGAGAACGAGTTGAATACGTATAGAAAAAAACAAAGGCAGGAACAAAAGGAAACGACACAGAAAAAATTGTTTCGGAAAAACATTGCAGTAGGAAGAAAAAAGCGTAGAAATAAGTTGGGATAATAAAGGGAGAAGCTCGATCTAAGGTTTTAAGACTTAAATGCCCTCTCAATGCTGATTCTATCTACACCTAAGTGCCCATCTCATGGCTAGTCTTGGCTGTTACGGTAACGAAAACTTGCTAGCTCCATTGTGGGAAAGCTGCCCTGATTTCAGGAGCGTAGCGCTTCGAGAAAGTGGCTGGTCGTCTGTACATATCATGTGGCGGAATCATGCTCCCAAGAAAATGCGCAGTACAAGCCTAAAAATACTAAGATTCTTCATATACTCGCCACAATAACTAAGAATGCCGTAAATATTGTGATTAACAGGAATGATCACGAAGTAAACCCTTTAATAAGGTAATGCCGTTAAAAACGCTTTGAAAACGTGCGGCTAGCACCCACGCCACGCAAGCGATGGCGCCACTTCTTTGCCAAACTTGCAACAGTTCTTTTCTTTTTTACTTCTCCAGCCTTTACTTCAATACATTTAGAGGGGGTTGTCACAACCTTATGAAGCTCAGTGTAGACGAGAGGCACATCAGCTTCCCCAGCAAGTGGGGCAGCTTGGTCTAGTTGGTATGAGACATGACTATGGTTATAGCCCCAGAACATAACGACGAGACAGGGACGACACAGTGTCCTTCATGTCCTTTTTTCTGTGTCGTGGTTCTGTTCTCGTGTTATAACTATCGTCTTTCCATACAAACCCCGCAAGCTTCCCTGTAACATACGTCATCAACAGTTTTGTAAACGAAACAGTGAGAACTACGAAGTGAAAGTAGTGGGTGTCAGCGCTATGTATTTCCTCAGGTTCGCCGCTTTAGTATGTATATTTCGCTGATAAATTAGAACTGCACCAATTTTCTAATTGGTGCAGTTTAAATGAAACTAATTTTCATTGTTATTGTCTTCCTTAAGCTGTACAAATATTTGCAATGCAATTGTCTGTAATGTCCTGTATTGAAACTGCCCTATCTGTGTGTAGATATTCTAGGTGCCTCTTACAACATCGAAACAGAGAAAATACTTTATTTTTTGGATTACAGCTTTCATGCAAACCAGGATTTTACACACGGCAGCAATACGTCGATATGTCACTTCAAACAATTAGTGCAAATCAACAAGTACATCGTCCACCAACCCTATGGTCCCACGATTGAATGAAAATGATAATAAAATTAAAATTAAGGAAGCATATCTTAGAAGTATTGAGATACGTTTACGTACAATTACAGGAGTGTGAAAGAATTAAACATGTTCACACAGTTTAAGCACCAGACATTGCAAAAAATAAAAAGAAATCAGTAATAATAAAAAGTGATAATAAAGTAATAGGCGATACGCTTAAAAGTAAGAAGTAATAAGCGATACGCCTAAAATAATTACAAGCTTCTTAATCCAGAATAACCCTCCTTCATTCTGTTGCATTGCCACAGGGTTGTAACGGTAAGGAACACTACATTTCGTGCTATTTACTAGGCAAACTTCTATTTACTACGCAAATTCATTTATTAGGCAAACATGTTTCTAAGAAACGAAATTACAATGTGGAGGCAATACACCCTGTAAACTGACAGTGCTGATTCCAGTTGCCGCCGTCGCTAGTCTCATCTGGGTTAAGGCACCCCGGCATTTAGGCATTTGGCATGCAAGATTATAGAGGTATCACTGCTGGCACGTTAGTTTCAGAATAGGCTGTACTGTTTGCACGCCACGCCTTGGCACGTAACAGTATTTTAAAATAATCAGAAAGGCGTCGTTGCATTTGAGTGCGGTTTCCGCAAGGTAGTGGTTACACGTGTTGCGAACAAGTTACGTAAAATAGAATAAGAAGAGTGCGTGGCATGCTGCTTATATACAAAGAGTATGAGATGAACATACGAAATTACGTTACTCTTCTATAGGACTATTCGTCCTAACCCCAAAAGTGAGGGAGTCCTTTGGAAGAATTTTATAAGCACGCATGAACTTAAATGGAAACATACCTTGTTCCTACCTGCGACAACCAATAGTACTGAGCTTGAGAATAAAAACAGTGACCAAAGGCCGTGCGCAGGCATGGCTGTGGTTCTGCTACGAATAGTGAAATGATCAGTTCGAATTAAAACATCTCTTGCGGCTTGAAAACCTAGAGTCGCTTATATACCCCCTTATCGTGGCCTTACACCTTGAGATTACACCATGAATGGAAGGGCACACTGGAAGAGTAAATGGAGTTTGTAAAATATTCGCTGTACGTGGGCATTTCAAGCATTTAAAAACTTTATGTAGGACTCCTTTTCTGTGTCTTTAAAAAATGGAAATATCAACCACCTCTTTTGTAGGTAAGGGTACTCGCCGTGGTTTCAATGTCTTTGCGAAGCATTCTTGAGCCGCGTCGCTAATTTCTCATTTGGATATGGACGTTATTTATCATAACTTAGGGCATTTCTGAAAAACTGGCCCCGTAAGAACCATTGTCCTCATTAGGAAGCACTGAAAGAAATAATATCTATAAAAAACGAGTTTTATGGCACCTTCAAGACATTTAACTGTTCTTAGCAAGTAGTAATGAATATCAAGATCATGTATCCGGCATCCTTTTATTCGAGCTCGCTTGGTATTTGTTTCCTTTTGCGACTTGTCCAGTGCATAGCAGAAATAAAGGACCTTTCACTGTCCAGAGAACGTAGCTAAAGCATATTTTTTTTAATGATGCTACAGCCCATTTATACATGTTGGTGCGTATGCTTGAATGTGTGCATTTTCATGTACGAATGCCGAACTGAAACTTTTTTTATATTTATGTGTAATAACACTCCGTTCTGTGCAGCAGCGACAGCGCTAATTTCTAGCGGCCAAATACAACTGCAAATCCGTCAGGCAGGCTCGAGGCGAAATGCCTAGGTAATTACGGAAATTACGTCAATTCTAGTTCGTGAAGATTTTTATAGTATGCAGAAATGTGCATAGAAGCCCATATTCTTTTCCAAACTATAGAACCTCGCCTCCTGGCTATTTGCTGCGGCGTCAAAGCTTATATTTTAGCTCCATTACCATACATGAACGACGCTTTGCGAAATCCTGTGCGTACTAACGAAAACTGCATGAACTAGAATTGACGTATTTGCCGAACGGAACCCGAGGTATCTTGCCTCAAGCCTGCCTGACAGATTTGTTGTAGTAGTAGGCTGCTAGAAAGTAGCACTGCTCTGCTGCTCGGGACGTAATGTTTACGCATATTAACATAAGAAAATGTTCAGATTGGAATTCGCATATGATTACGCGCACATTGAACAATAGGCACCGACAATAAATGACTCATGACACCCATTTTTTTACCATAATCTGTGTTGTGTGGGCCGGTGCTTGTACGTTCACAAGAAGATGGCGAAATATCAGTGCATTCGGTCGTGCCGGTAATTTATAATCAAATATTTTTATAAATGAGCGAGTGGCCCAGTGCTTGGACAACACTGGCGCGCTCGCTAGCCGTGACGTAACGAACCGCTTGCTCCGCGACCTTCTGCATGGTGTGCAGTACTCAGGGGGATCGTGTTTCATGGTCAGCTGCGCTTGCAACTGAGTTGTTTCAGCGTTGTTCAACGTGCCACTGGAACTGAACGACTTGCAATGGTTGAAGCAATGGCACAAGACGTCGTCGCCGCTTCTGCTGCTCAATGAATCATTGCCCGAATCTTGAGCTCATGATGGCGCCGACGACATGGCGATCTTACCTCGCAGGACTTGCGACATGTGCGGATCACGCGACAAGCAACACTCGCAACACAGTGAACACACTGACCGCGTGCCAATGGTGCCGTTTGGCAGCAGACGACGGCACTGCTCCCATCGGTTTCTGACGTTATGCACCCCACGGCACAATGGCAGTCGCCGGCGGTGGACGGAGTTTACAGCCGAAGACTTCTACGGCTCATTTTGGACTGCAATAATCTTTCACAGTCCAGTTTTCACACGTGTACACACATATTCCGCCTTCTAACTTCGTGTTTCACCGAAAACCGCAAATTTTTGCGTGACCATGTCATGGCCCCTTCAAATAATCGAGCATCGAGCGTCGGTAACAGTCGCCGACTTAATTGCTAAGCACGTGCTACTCATGGCGTCGCCTTGAGTATAAGCCTGCTTTCGAACAATATGAGAACTTTTTTTTTGAAGGGGGGGGGGGAGGCTGCAGAATCTTTCTCTAGTTACAGCACACATTTCTCTCCTATTACTTAGTTCTCGTCCAATTTGACTAACATTTGTATCATTGCCTCTGATCTTGCTGTGGAACAAACAACAGCTGTTTGTCACCTCTAGTCAGGTTATCAGGACGTGTCTCACTTAGAAAAGCAACCCTCATGGCCGGACATCTCTTGTCACCCATCGCATAAACGCTGGTGTCGGCTAGGGCTCCATTTGTCAAAGACCATTTATTTTTTATTTATTTACAGAGTACTGTCAATCCCCTATGAGGATTATTATGGGGGTGAGCATCACTGTCACAAATTTCGACGTTTGAAACAAGAAAAAGTAGAATAATATAGATCAAATAATCTATGAACACAGCAGTACAGCATAAAACAATATTTAATAATAGTTATTTGAACGATAACCAAGTACAAAATACACCAATGGTACACCTACAAAAAACAGGAGTCGAGAGTAAACGAATCCCAGAAAAAAGAAAACACAATTCGAGTATTGTTATCAAGGAACCATATCAGACAATAAATATATGCAGACAAGTGTTTTAGTATGACAATTGGAAACAAAAAGGACCGCATTAAGGAAAACAGGTGATCACTGTACATGCTAACTAGGTTAGTATAGATCAGTGCCTTCAATTAGTTTCATAAATTTCTCTAATGTTGGCTGCTGTGTAATGACTGCATTCAGTGTGTTCCATTCTCGAATTACGCGCGGGAAGAACGAATAGGAAAAAGCATTATTACTAAATGAGTATTCTTCGAGTTCCCATGCATGGGTTCGCCTCGTCGGTTTGGTATCTCGAAAGCTCAAGTAAATATCTGGGTGTATGCGGAATGATCTGTGTAAAAGTAGATAAAGAAATTTGAGCCGGAGAACCTTTGCACGACTTTCAAGGGTGGCTAGACCAGCACGAGGTAGTAGAGCAGTAGGTGAGTCGTTGCGCCCGTATCTGTTCAAGATAAAGCGCACTGTTTTCCGCTGAACCTTTCCCAGTATAGCGATACTATTCACAGTGTGAGGGAACCACACAATATTAGCATATTCTAAGACCGGGTGGACAAATGGGACGTAAGCAAGAAGCTTCGTTTCATGTGTGGCGAATGACAGGGCCCGTATAATACAAAATAATTTGCTCATCACTTTTTTGGACACTTCACGCACGTGCTTTGTCTAACTAAGATCAGATGAAATTGTGATACCAAAGTATTTGTACTGGTTAACCCTTCGTAGTGGCACATTATTAAAATGGTATTGAAAACCAAACTTAGACACCTTGTTGGTAATGGACATAAATACAGTTTTGTCAATGTTTATAGTCATTTGGCAATCAGCCCACCACTGAGCTATTTTGTTTATTGAATTACTAAACTTCACCTGATCATCGTGATGACGTATTTCATTGTAAAGCATACAGTCGTCTGCAAAGTGCCTGAGTTTAACGTTAGCGTATTTAGTTATGTCATTTATATATATTAGGAACAAAACTGGAGCTAGTACAGACCCCTGCGGGACGTCTGACAACACCGGAGCTAGGTAAGAAGTGTGGATGCCATGTTGTACGTATTGGTGACGGTCAGTTAAGTAATTAGTTATCCATTGAAAGATGGGGCCATCGCCTAACAATTGATTAAGGTTAAGTTGTAGTTTAGGGTGCGAGACGTGGTCGAATGCCTTCGAGAAGTCGAGAAAAATAACATCAGTTTGAATACCTTCATTTATGTCGAGAGACAGGTCATGAAGTGTCTCGACGAGCTCTGTAACTGTAGATAGTCCTGATTCAAAGCCATGCTGGTTGGAATGCAGAATGTTGTTTGATTCAATAAAGCTGATTAGAAATTTTAACACAATATGTTCAAGAATTTTGCTACTAGTGCAGGTGATCAAAATAGGCCTATAATTAGAAGGACTCGCGAAATTATCTGATATAAATATTGGAGTAATTTGGGCAATTTTCCACTCAGCTGAAATGCAGCCATCTGCCAGTGATTTGAAGTATATTAAATAAAGATATTTACTGACTGGTTCTGCATATTGTTTAAGGAAGCCATTTGGGATTCCGCCTGGACCGCTACATTTTTTTTAATTATTGCCTAGAAGCTGCGACCTAATGCCAGCCTCTAATAAAAAAGGCGTGCCTAATAATTAGATATCCTGATAATAAAAAGAAGCATTCATGTTCACAGTGCCATTATCACTGTAAAAACCGAACGAATATAATAGTTGAAATCGTAAGCTCTTGCTTGGTTTTGACCGTCTGGTGAAGGTCGATTAGTCATTTTTGTGCTCATATATTTACATAATTTGTGGAGAAAGTTTTTAATAAACTTATTCAATGTGGACCCGCAGAACTTCTGTTTCGCGTTACGCACCTGATCCTTCAGTGATCTAGTAAGTGAGTTTAGTATAGAACGGTAGCCTGGAACATTCCGGGCCCCGCCGCGGTGGTCTAGTGGCTAAGGTACTCGGCTGCTGACCCGCAGGTCTCGGGTTTGAATCCCGGCTACGGCGGCTGCATTTCCGATGGAGGCGGAAATGTTGTAGGCCCGTGTGCTCAGATTTGGGTGCACGTTAAACAACCCCAGGTGGTCTAAATTTCCGAAGCCCTCCACTACGGCGTCTCTCATAATCATATGGTGGTTTTGGGACGTTAAACCCCACATATCAATCAATGGAACCTTCCGGTTTTTGTTAGTTTTACGCAACCTCTTTATTTCGCGTTTAGTATGGATTATTTTACGTGTAATCCACGAATTGTGTTTTTGAGTTTATTTAAAACCATTGGGACAAAGTTCCGCATACAGTGCATGACACGGAATTTGAATTTCAGCCAGACCGCATCAATGCTAGAGCAAGCATCAGAACAAAGGTGAAAAAATTCAGTGTACTCGTGTACAAGGTACGTCATTACAGCCGCA